ATCTAAGGCAGTGGTGATCTTTGCACTTCAGCTGCAAGGTTTGCACAATGGCTACAGACGTTTAAAAGGGAGTTCTACTCTTCTTTTTGGATGTACAGTATATATTATTTTATAATATGGAATATGTATCAGGAGGCAGAGGAACATTCAAAGCTCAAAGGAGAGTAAGAAGATAGCCACATGTTTTTCATTGTCCCCAGGAGATGTAAGAATTCAGTACACTGTGAACAGCAGACTCCGCTTCTAATTGAAATATACTCTTTGGGAAGACTGATCCAATAAACCCAAAATAAATGACTGATATAAAATCAGTGAATCAGGTTTAGATGTAATATAAGTATGTACATGAGTTCCAATACACAGGATGATTTCTGTAACATCAAATCAAGATAGCATGAATTGCAAGAATCTGGAAGTTCTTATCACTATTGTTGGATGATCACTGTAATGGGTCAGTGCTCAGAAATCATTTCCTTTATCCCACAGAAAAGGTAGTGGTCCCCTCCATGCATTTTACATCACATCACATGACAACATCTTCCAAGAAGAGAGCAAAAAAATTATCAGATCTCTCAATGCCTGTCTTCTGGCCAGCTTAACATTACCACTATTCAAACCAAGCTTGAGATGTTTTGTATGCCACCACAATAGTAGATGTACGCTTCTCCCAGTCTACATCAGGGACCTGGCATTTTATTGCATGCTAACCTTAGTTTCCAACCCTCAGATGTGCCTCAACAGCAGCCCATGAACTCACAAGCAGCACAAAATAAGTCACAGGAGAGCAAATTTATGAACTGTCAGAGGCTGGGGCAGGGCAATATTCAGGCAGACAGTTAAAGCCTAGTACACATGATCAGAAAATCATACAAAAATACTGCTTTCTAAGCAATCGTATGATAATCTGATCGTTAGTACACCGCTTTTGACCTAAACTATTCGAAGGGACATGAGCGAAAATTTTCCTCGTATGATACCAGATCGTACAAGGCTTAAGGCAAGTGCAGACATAAATACAGAACCAGAAGACAGGCCAGAGTCATTGGCAGAGCTGAAGAGCACCAATATATCTACGGCAAAGCATCAAAACTCACATGCATCAGCAAGAACCTTTCACTCAGGTGCTAACACAGTGCAATGATCAAAATTTGTACAGGCAGGCTGAAGTTTTTAGTGTAGGCTAGAAAAGAGTGTGGGCATGCATCTACAGCAGCCCAAATGGAAAGATGGACAATAGAGCAACAGCTGCTCATGGGAGGTACTTAGGAGCCCTGTTTTTTTTTTTAAACACGGTATATACATTTGATGTGAAGTTTAGTGCAGCTTATAGTTCTTTCCTGCCAGCTATTTTGAACAGAAGCTTGTCATCAGTCGGTTATAGATGCGATTATTTTTTATCCAATCTGACAAAGATTCAACTAAATGAATGAGACAATCTGCAAGATTTCTAAATGAAAGGATAACTAAATACAAAAACAAAAAGGCAACATTTTGCAGGTTACAGACCTTAGATGTGGCAGCTGCATTAGGGTTCTTTTGTTTTTTTGAAGCTAAGACCTTTTGTAGAAAATACAGATTAAAAAAAGTTGATCCTGCCATAAATGCAGTGTTCTTGTCACTTTCCATGGGCTGCACTTAAGAATATATTCCTTCCTAACTAATTATAAACTACCCGAACAAAGAAGAAGAGATACGGACATGTTTGGAGTCCATATGAGGAGAGCAGCCTAAGGTGACAACCCTGACTCCCTCCATAGATACAATGCAGGAGTGCTGTAGCTACCCAGGGACAAGAAGTGTGTAATTTGCATTAAAAAATAAAGCAAAAGAAGCTGTAAAAAGAGAACATGTAACCACCACATCAAGCATTAGTATTCTGCAATATATTACAATTTTGGCATTGGGTTTAAATACACTTTAAATTTTTTGCTTTGGTACATGTCCCCCATTGCAGTGCCAAACACTCCACACTGTTTGTTTGGCAATCTCTTGCCTTTAGCCGAGGCCACAGATGCTGATAAGTAGCATGAACAAAGACCATCAAAATGGTCCCTTCGTGGTCTTCGTCAATGCTACCTATAATATAAGCTTCTGTGGCCTTTTCTAGTAGACAAGAAATTGCCAAACAAATAGTGTGGGGTGTTTGGCACTGCAATGGGGGCCATGTGCCAATGCAAAAAAAAAAAACACTTTAAAATTGCTTTTCAAAAATTAGATAATTTGCCTGAAAATGGTTCATTGTTCCTTTTTACGTGTTAATAATATAGCAGATTTTACATAGATGTCACAGTGCTACCATCACCCTCCAGGATTGTTCACATTGACAACAAATCTCACATAAGGTAAGACGTTTGACACCATCCCATGTCACTGAATAACACTGGCAATATATCAGCAGCACACTGCTACAGCTCGGCTTTAGCCACTTAAAAACAAATGAGTGTGGGAATGCAGAGTAATTGAACTCCTGCAGGATGCTGACCTCTGACCTACAACAAAACATGCACCACAAGCAGATCCCCAAGTCTTTGGTCCCCTGACCTTCATACCACTGCTCAGTAGGAACATACACTCACCGGCCTCTATATTAGGTACACTTGTTCAACTGCTTGGTAACACAAATTGCTAATCAGCCAATCACATGGCAGATACTCAATGCATTTAGGCATCTAGACATGGTGAAGACATCTTGCTGAAGTTCAAACCGAGCATCAGAAAGTTGAACAAAGTGAATTTAAGTGACTTTGAACATGGCATGGTTGTTGGTGCCAGCTGGGCTGGTCAGAGTATTTCAAAAACTGATCTACTGGGATTTTCACCATTGGGTGTACCCCTGAGGACGTGTTATTACACGAAACGCATTGGGTGGAGCCCTATTGCTGACGTCACGCCGCCACTACAGGGGAGAAGCAGCCATCTTGGTACTCTATTTTACTAACTACTTTATGCTACTCCACGTGGATACTTTTTATGTTACTTGTGATTATTATAATAAAAATACTACACTATAAGAACCTTTCTGGCTCCTGTGGCTGAGCTGATTTCTCCCCAAGACCACCAGGCACCCACCCTGACCGATGGATGGATGGAGCTGTATGAAATAAAACTGTAGCTGCCAGCATACCGCTGCACCCCCAGTTGTGCAATGTTTTATAAGCCATGCACATTAATACTTTTGGTCTGGTGAGTGTACATCCGTCCAAAGGGTGGATTTCCTTTCACCATGGATGCACCATTGTTCATCACGGATAATTTCACGTGCCAATCATAGGCACTGTTTCAGTCGACACCTTTGCACAAAGGACGTTTCAATATTTACGAATAATTTTAGGAACTTTTACAACCTGTTTTAGCACCATTTGAATGATTTATGCAGTTTATACTTATATTGCACTTCATTGCACTTTATTAACTTATACGCTTAGTTTACATGCGTTTATGAAATTGTGACATGCATTTATAGCGCTGCACTAATATTTTAGAAATTGCAATTCTGGGACTGTTGCCAATACTCTGAGTGCTAGCCGCTACATTTATACTCATATCTATATCTATATATAATTTGTAATACCCTATAATTGTATTCATCAGCGCTCGCTTTACTATTATATTAAATATGTCAATATGGACCAAAATCTCTGAGGAAAGTTTCCAACACCTTTTTAAATCTATGCCATAAAAGAATTAAGGCATTTCTGAAGGCAAAAGGGGGCCCAACCCGGTACTAGCAAGGTGTATCTAATAAATTGGCTGGTGTTTGTATATGCTGCATGGTTACTAGTTGAAAAATAGACAAAGTTTGTAGCACCTTTTTTGCTAGATGTTTTCTAAGAGGATCCTATGTCATTTGAGACACATCTCCATAATACCTGCATATAAAACCACCAACAGATCTTGTGTCTGTTGACAGTAGGAGAAACCTGTACTGAGGAAGATATGGAGGCTGCCAAAGCTGGATGTTTTCTAAAAACACTAGTTCCCTAGCAGTCATGCTGGTCCAATGGCTTCAATACTTGTACTGACTTACTGTCACACCACAACGAATGAATAGGCTCAAATTGCAATGCACTGAACTGCATGTGAATAGCACAGAAAAGCGCTGCATGTTCCTATGCGATCCCTAGTGTGAACGGCCCTTAAAACTAATAAACAGATTATATGCTCTGACTTTACTCTGATCACTGAACCCTTAAACCTTTGCAGTAAAAGTCTTCTGTTTATTAAAAGTGGCTCTGTAACTTTAAAACCAACTTTAAAACCAAAACCAAAAATGTTTCTCTTATTTTGGATAGAATAGGGTATGGGTAAAACCCTTGTCAGTTTTTTTTTATTTACCCTCTATGTCTGATTAAGCAGATTTACTTCTCTTTTCCTATTGTGTGTTCAGGGTAGGAAGTAGAAGAAATCTTTCCAAAATGAGAGAAATTACCTCCTAGACTTGTCACCAGAACAAATGTCCTGGTTGGGCTACTTCAACTCCTTCCTCATTGGCTTACCATTTTTACGCAGGCTGTCCCCTCTTCAGTCTATCATGAATGCTGCTGCAAGACTCATCCACTTTACCAACCATTCAGTGTCTTCGGCCAATCTCTCTTCTGGCTTCAACTCACCCAATGCATAATATTCAAAATACTAACAACTTACAAAGCCTTCCACAACTCGGCCCCCCAGATACATATCACTAACCTTGTCTCAAAATACCAGCCAAATTCTCATCATTCCTACCAAGACCTCCTGCTCTCCAGCTCCCTCGTCACCTCTTCCCATGCTCGCCTCAAGTACTTCTCCCAAGCCTCTCCCATACTCTGGAACTTCCTACCAATATTTTCAAAGTATCTCCTACTCTGTCAACCTTTGGGAAATCCCTGAAAACCGTTCTCTTCAGGGAAGCCTATCCCGCCCCCACCTAACAACTGTTAGCTCCATTAGCTCATCCCCCACAGTTATTACCTTTTGTATCACTTGGCCCTTCCGCTAATGACAGGGCCCTCTGATTCCTCCTGTATTGAATTGTACTGTCTGCCCTCATTTTGTAAAGTGTTGTGCAAACTGTTGGCACTATAGAATTCCTGTATAATAATAAGAATACAGTATTTTTCGCTCCATAAGAAGCACTTTTTTATTCCCCCAAAAAAACTGTCTGCAGTCTCTTGGTCATCCCCTGTACTGTCTGCAGTCTCTCTGGTCATCCCCTGTATTGTCTGAGGTCTCTGGTCATCTCCTGTACTGTGTCCGCAGTCTCTGGTCATCCCCTGTACTGTGTCTGTAATCTCTGGTCATCTCCTGTACTATGTCCGCAGTGTCTGGTCATCTCCTGTAGTATGTCCGCAGTCTCTGGTCATCTCCTGTACTATGTCTGCAGTCCATTGGTTCAAAATATTTTTTTTCTTGTTTTCCTCTTCTAAAACCTAGGTGCGTCTTATGGTCAGATGCGTCTTATGGAGCGAAAAATACAGTAATTTCTCTTTTATTCCTCCTCTTGGGGCAACCACAAATTTGGAATTTTACCTCACTTTACGTCTCGTGACATAATCCTTCTCTAACTGATCCACCGCTAGAAAAAAAAAAAAGTTTGGCTTTAGATATAACTTAAAGTAGTTCTAAACCTCTGGCATGAAATGCAAACAAAGCATTTCCTTCTATAGTGTGTAATTGTCACAATTAAGAGCATTAAGTGTCATTTCTGTCTACTGCTTCATTCCTCTGCTATCAGAATCACTTCTGAGAAGTTTTTCTGGCAGAAGAGAAAAATGGTGACAGAGGAGGGACTTCCAGGAGATCTACAACCTCAGCTCTGTTCCTTTCTGCTGGGTGGAGAGGTATGTGTCCCTTCCCTCCAATCAGCTCTCAGAGCTCTCCTCACTGAGCTGTGCAGAGTGTAACTTCAGCTCTTTGCCCCCTTTGTTCATAAATCTCAGACAAGCTGTATAAATTCAGCACTTTGAATGGATGTAGAGAAGAGTGCAGATGGACAGGTACAACTTATGTAAGAGAATTTGTTTCATCTCTGTGTATCACCTGAGGCCAGTCATTTCACTGGGTATGTGTTAGGGTGTACAGCAACTTTAACAGAATTGATGGGTATAAAGTGCTGGTACTTGGTTGGTTTCACATATTTGTAGTACAGGAAAGCACACAATTAGGATTGTTTACTAAACCTGGAGAATGCAAAATCTGGTGCATCTATGCAAAGAAACCAGGGTGGATAAAAATCAATGATTTTTAAAAAAAAAAAATCAAAAAAATCAGATTTTTTTTATTTAAATCGGATTTTTTTTATTTAAATCGGATTTTTTTGAATAAAATGCTTTTTTGAGGAAAATATATTACCATCCAAAGTTTATTCCATCATGAAATAAAGATTAGTTTTTTAATTATGTAGAATAAGGCTGTATATGTTTAATTTTTTTGATAAATAAATTCCATTAATCCATTCACAATGTCATGCTCTTCCAGAGGTTTTTGTAAGATTATTGGGCAGTTTCTCCGCCTACAAGATATTATCACAGATGCTTGGTTTACTTTTGCAGTTCTCAAAACTGAATTTGACTCAGCGGAGATCACATGCCTCTTCTTCACAGCAAAAATGTTATAACATGAACAGAGTTAAGAAAAAGACCTTAATCCTAACTTCTACAAACCTATGAATACAGAATCAACCCCTTCAGTGCTAAGTTTCAAGAAGTTCAGTGAATAGAATAGAAACAATATTTTTCTGATTGTTTGGAGTGGAATAGATCTGCACAAGAAGAAAGTGAAACTAAGTGTGAGGAGGAAGGGGCTGAGTTTCTTAAAATATATATATTTTGTTTAGCCAAATTAGTTAACAAACCTGGATGTTTGTTTAAGCAAATAACATATGCTGGAATGTTATTGTTTCAGATGAATAAATCTATTTAAATTGTTATTATTAAGGTAATGATTATTTTTCTCCTTCCTAAGTACAACAGAAAAGTTGTCCAAATATGAATGATTAACCTATTAAACGGGATAAAAAAACTAATATGAAAAGTTGTTATTCTAAAAATCTTCATCTACTTGCATATTAAAGTTATACCAGCAAGAATTAGTCTATGTAGAAAACTATGATTTAAATCAAGCCTTACTGACTAGTGATTTAAATCGTGATTTAAATCGTGATTTAAATCAGTTTGATTTAAATCAAATCCACCCTGAAAGAAACCAATGAGCTTCCAGGTTTTATTGCCAAAGCTTAATTGAACAAGCTGAAGTTAGAAGCTGATTGGCTAACCATGCACAGCGGCACCAGATTGTGAGTGCACCAGTTTTAGTAAATCTACCCCATTGTCTTGTGCTGTGCTGCTGATGTGATATTCATTCTTAATGGCAAAGTAATATTGGCCACGTATCTTCCCAATGCATGTGTGTTTTAGAGCACCACAATGAATGGTAAAGCACTACTATGCATTGTGGACAGCTGCCTTTTAAATAAAAAGTACTTGCAACTATTGTGGTGTGGTTAGGTGCTTCAAGGAGCTCATTCAGATAAATGGATTGCCTGAAACAACACACATTAACACACAAAACAACACATTTCCACACAAAGCTATACTCATCAATGAGCTTTCTGTTAACATACTGAAGGTGTGAATGTAGCCTTAGAATTAAATGTGCACACCTGCAGTAGCTTTGGGTTCCCCTGCTCCATCCAAATGCCATTTCATGCTGATTGGACAAAACACAACACATTCTAGTAGAGCCCCTAAAACATTCCTAATGGCCATTAGGGCAACCTATTATAGTGTTAGGTCAATAGGAATGTATGGGGAAGAGAACAGGCAAACTCCAACACAACCAAGCATTGGAGCTTTGCCTAATCACAATGGCCTATCATTCCGGCTGAGCAGGTGGCCTAAAGACTCATCAGGGTGCTTGCACTTTACACCTGCCAGCAGTTTTTTTTTGTTAAAGTGTTGAAGTCACTATAACAATGGGAATAGGGAACCAATAATGTGATCTTTGCCCTGCTCTCACTAGGAAGCAAATTCTGTCTTTGTATTCAGATCATGTGACAGGGTGCAGGAGTAATTGGGAAATTGGGGGAGGGTTCATTAAAAGAAGCTGAGCACAACAGTCAGAACAAAGCATTGCAAGGCACTGATGAAACAACTGCTGGATTTTAATGAGTAGCCCAATGCTAGCCATACACGTCAGTGTGGTTGAAGAAGGGAAAATCAATAAATTCCTCTATCCATTCAAAACAATGTGGATGGAGGAATCTCCACTGCCGACTACTATTCTCAGACAGCCACAGCAACTGTGGCTGCCTGAATACCCAAACAGTGACTGGACCTGATAGGATGTAGTCACTGCTTGGCTAATAACTGCTAACAGGACGATTCATGACATTCATTTTTACAGATTCAGCAGGAATTTGTATGTTCTATGGCCATCTTAAAGCAACCCATAGACATAAAAAGACAGTCCCTTGATTTGGTTGTCTTTATTATTATTATTGTTATTATTATTATTATACAGGATTTATATAGCACCAACAGTTTGCTCAGCACTTTACAATATAACGGGAGACAATACAGCAACAATACAGTTCAATACTAGAGGGTGAGGAGGGCCCTGCTCCTTGGAGCTTGCAATCTAAGTCTTTAATCACATTGGATGGTTATCCCATGTCTATGTAGATTCAGGGGCCAAATGACTGACCATTCTCAGATGGATCAGTGATCAGACTATCCGGGTTGATTTTGCTCTGCTTGATATAAACAGCAGTGTCTGCCTAACCCACCCTTCTCTTCCTTGCCTCTCAACATTCACTACCACAAACTCTAAGCCAGCCAATGCCTTGATTAAAGAATACTGTATGTAAAGCCTATCAATATATATACTGTATATATACTTTTCACCTTTTTTCCATTCTCTTTTGCATCCCAGTCCTGATGAGGTTAATAAAGTAGCAGAACTTCTGCAGCCAATTTTTCCGTTACCAGATACATGAGTACCCTTGCTGCCATTTCACTTGGGAAAGGATGCTTGTAGCAGCCATATATACTCACTTTATTAGGTAAACCTGTTCAATTGCTTGATAACACAAATTGCTAATCAGCCAATCACATGGCAGCAACTGAATGCATTTAGGTATCTAGACATGGTGAAGACGACTTGCTGAAGTTCAATCTGAGTATCAGAATGGGGAAGAAAGGGGATTTAAGTGACTTTGAACATGCATAGTTGTTGGCGCCAGTCAAGCTGGTCTGAGTATTTCAAAAACTGCCGATCTACTGGGATTTTCACATACAACCATCTCTAGGGTTTACAGAAATGGTCCAAAAAAGAGAAAATATCCAGTGTGCGGCAGTTGTGTGAACGAAAATGCCTTGTTGATGTCAGAGGTCAGAGGAGAATGGGAAGACTGGTTCGAGATGATAGAAAGGCAGCAGAAACTCAAATGTAAGGTATGCAGCATACCATCTCTTAATACAAAACATGTTGAAAGTAGATGGGCTATAGAAGCAGAAGACTACTCCGGGTGCCACTCCTGCCAGCTAAGAATAGGATACATTGGCTACAATTTACACAGGCTCACCAAAATTGGACAATAGAAGACTGGAAAAATGTTGCCTGGTCTGATGAGTCTCAATTTCAGCTACAACATTCAGGTGGTAGGATCAGAATTTGGCGTAAACAACATAAAAGCATGGATCCATCCTGCCTTATATCAGCGGTTCAGGATGGTGGTGGTGGTATAATGGTGTGGGGGATATTTTCTTGGCACTAGCAAGGTGTACCTAATATAGTGGCCCATGAGTGTATGTGAGGCATATAACGATCATTTTTTGAATTCTACTTTACGCCTCCAGGACTTCTCCAGGGTGTCGCCCATCCTCTGGAACTCCCTGCCCCAACCCATCAGATTATCACCTACTCTCCTCTCCTTTAGGCGCATCCTGAAAACCCATCTCTTCAGGGAAGCCTACCCCACCCCCTGCTAACTTGCCGATCTCCTCCACTCTTCCAACCACTCCATCCCCCACAGCTATCTCCTCCTGTACCACCATCCCCTCCCTCCTAGATTGTAAGCTCGAAAGAGCAGGGCCCTCGATCCCCTCATGTTTTGCATTGTATTGGTATTGTTCTGTCACATGTTCTGTCCCCCTTTGTAATGTACAGCGCTGAGCGAACTATTGGCGCTTTATAAATACTGTATAATAATAAGTTTCACTTTAAGACCCCTTTCACAAGGGGCAGACTCTGCCTGCAATCCTCTTGCTCAGTATGGAATCTGATCCCTGCTGGGCAGGAAGATGACAGGCATAAGTGAAGTGGACATGGACACAGCCCGCTCTCCTTTATTGAGATTCCGATCCTGCCTGAAAAATGGACAGGC